TTTTAATACCCATTTACACTAAATAGGAAATAATTTTTACCTACAAATACGTCAAACGCCTTTATTTATTTTTCCAATACATAAAAAAATGTTTTAGAATTTAATTTGTCGCAGGAAAAAAGTTAATATTTCTGGCTCATTAAGTCGCATCGATGTCATCCTTATCAGTGATTGTAGCCGCCTAGCAAAGAATTCACTGCTGATCAGTGTGCCCTATCCCTTGTCCCCTACAAGATTAGGATTGACCAACCTTATGATGTAAAGTGCACACTTTATAGGCCATTCAGACACCCAACCAACAGAGTGAACATATAACCATCAATTTAAAATATATGTCTAAACTACAGCAGAATAAAGGTTTTTCTGAAGAATAATGTTTCTAATATCATAATCTAAGAGCAACACATTTAAAACATACAAATGAATATGAAATTTAGGTCTATAATATTATATTGTCTGCTGGACTGAAACTTTGGTGATAGCAGACATTCAGCAATCACATGAAATTTGTAATTAGAATGAGAGAGAGAGAGAGAGAGAGAGAGAGAGATGGGGTTTAACGTCCACTCTACACAAACTAGGTCATTTCGGGACTAACATATGGTTCAATTTTATTTCCATAATTCCCTTGCGTGTAGGGGTCTTTAGCAGTGTGATAAACCGGAGGACCCAGAGAAAACCCACGAGGTAATTAGAATGAAGTTAAAGGTGGATCCATAAGTAAGGTGTGAGCTCACCAAGAACCAAGAAGGAGGTCCTGGGTTCAATCATGGTGAGGGGGTTGAATGGTCTAGTGGTTTAACGCATGGACGTGTAATCATTAGGTCGGTCATTGTGTCGTTGTTTCGATACCCCACCTTTGAACATGACAAGGCGTAGGGTTGCCTGTCTACCGTTGTGGGTTTTCTCCGGGTCCTCCGGTTTCCTCTCACTGCTACAGAATACTATGCACAAGCAAACTATTTATTAGTCCTGAAATGACCTAGTTTGGACTTAAACACTCTCTCTTTCTCTCTCTCTCTCTCTCTCTCTCTCTCTCTCTCTTCTCTCTCTCTCTCTTTCCAAAATGCAGGACAAGAAAAGGAAAAACATCAAGTCATGCAGGTGCGACCAAAGATAACTTACAGATGTATTATGTAAGATTTACTTAAAGAGGAGACTGTTCTTGCTATAATAGTTCAAAAACTGATTATCAAAGATAGGTTGCCAGGCAACAAAACATATGCCCACAGCAGCTAAATCGTCCGAGCAGTCGACAAGGGATGTCACAACTATTCTTTTGTAGGTAATTGGGGGAATTTAATAGACAATTTCATACAGATGACATTATAATTTTCGTTGTTTGAAGGTTTACAAGGTTCTAAAAACTAAAACAAGGTGTATAAAAATGAATATATTGAAAAATTCAGTCAAATTACTTTATTCTGAGCCAAGTTATGATAATAAACGAAGTCTTAATTATTTGTCCTTTTATTGAGCGATGTCTATTTCAACATTAACCGATTATATGGTGTGGGTGGTCTAATCCACTTTATATCCCAGCCTTCCAATGTGCTAGAGAGTTGATTATGGGCTTGTCATGTAAAACTAGCGGCTGCCAGGCAAGATACCCCCATATTTTGCAAGACATGGATAGAGATCAAGCTAAAAAAAAAAGCAATTTTTCATACAATCAGGGGCCATAATCCAGGAAGTTATGGTCTAAAATGCACAAATATCGACATGGACTTAATATTTGGGATATAAAGATACATATTTAGTTTCATCAAAATCTAATAAAAATTGTAACTTCTAGAGGGTCCACAACCTTGATATACCATGTTATTACACTATTTTTGTGTAAAATGGGCGGCTAATATGTCCGGCAGTTTTGGTCCAATTTTCACGAAATTCAAACTCAACTGACATTACGGTGTAACAGTGATATATTCAAAAGTTTTTTTTAATTGGATAATAATTTTGACCTCTGGAGGGACCACAAGCTAAAAACAGGACTTTTCTTACAATCAGGGGCCATGATTCTGGAAGCTAAGATCCAATATGCATGAATATCAAAAGAAACCAAGATCTTTGGGTTATAACATGCATTTCAACTTACATCAAAATCAGATGAAAATTGTGACCTCTAGAGTGTCCACAAACTAAAAACGTGATTTTTCGTACAATCAGGGGTCATAATCAATAAAGTTTCAATCTGATACATACCAATATCAACAGGAAGCGTGATCTTTTGGTGATAAATGTATATTTCACGTTATAGCAAAATCGGATGAGAAGTGTGACTTGTAGAGCGTCCACAAACAATTTGTGGACGGACAGACGGACGGTTTGACAACAATATATGTCCACATAATAATTTTTATAACATTTGAAGCCAGCAAAAAGACCTGCTATAGGCAGATTTAGCTCTTACATAATGCATTTTTAAGTGAAATATAGAGAAAAAATATGAATAAATCAATGTCTAATGCATTTAAAGAAGATATTTATAATCAGGAAAAAAAAATCGTTGCAAAATTTTTTCTAATGACTCATAGAACTGTTTCTTTTTTACTGTTTGTCGATTTCAAAATGTCATAGCTTGAAAACAAAATGTTCTGTTTATTTTTCTTTATTATGCCATTGTCATAAAATCCATTGTAACACCTTCCATTAGTGGATGTGTTAAAATATTGTAAGTTGTTTGTTGATATCCCACTTATGTGTATTGTATTTTGGGAATCTATTTCCATCGAAGATATTGAAAATAGATTGGATTGCGTTTATATCCAATTGCGCCATTGACAGTGTGCTTGATAATGTGAAACATCAAATTAACGTGATCAGTCAAAACAGTAAAAAGTTAGAAAATGAAAATGTCATTTATCATTGGTTGTCATATGTTGATTGTTAAAGAGCGACGTAATTGAAGCATCAGGATATTTGTTATGTTACTTTCTATTGTTTTTACAATTCATGCCTGAATTCAAAAAGTAAAATGTTATAATATATGCCATACTTTATGTCAGTTTGTATTGACAGATTTCGTTACTACACTAGGACCTCGGGGGGCTTGTTATAACACTGGACTAATAATATGGAGCTGGCTTGGCGCCTGAAATAATCTGTATATAATTCATAAATTTCTATTGGGAAGTAATAACATTTCCAACCTCTATTATCTTGTTGCATTATCCATTGGCCAGTGTTAGGTTATTTAAATAATTTTGCGATGCAAGTTTCATTGGTGCTACCACACTTTTGATTAGGTGGGGGAACAGTTCATATAAAAACTTCGTGGGGCGTCAGATTCTGTCCCAATGACTCCCATTTCTGGTTCTCTCGTTTACAAGAATTTGCTAACAGCAATGACCTCAAATGTCAGGATATTGATTCAATTTTTCAGAATTTTCTCAGGTTGCTCAGTGTTATAGCCACTGCCCCTAAGGTTCACATAAATCTAACAACAAAATCAATAACAATCATCATATTATATGACATGTACTTTATGTCAACTTAAATAAAATTGCTTTCCGGGGAGATAATGATTGGCGACAACTATATAGGCAATACGATCTATGTTCTACCAGGACGCTCAGTGTTACAGCAAGTATTTTGTTGACATTCATTGTGGGGTGGAATTGTGGAATGGCGCCCAAGAATTAGAACCGAACCTCCCCCACCCCCTATTCCCAGCTTCTAGATCTGCTACTGGCCCCAAGAAAACTTGCACCTGTGGTGCTCGGCTCCTGACTGCGTCACTCATATTAGGGGTATGTGCATCGGCCAGTTGCATTTTTGCTAAACACCATCCACCCCCACCCAAACAAAATCGTTATGTACGCCCCTGTGGATTATCATTTCTTTTTTGCTTGTGTGGGTTTATATTATATACAAGTTTTTCTAGCTGAATTACAGAGTAAGGATGTTAAAAATAATACCGAAATGTCAGAGTGTGAATGTGTACACAGAAAACCATTCCAAGATCGAGTTATAGGGTTTGGTAAATGATAAAAAATGTGATCTTTATTTTGGCCTAACCCTTTTTAAAATTACTAGATAGGAAGTACTCATTTCTAACTTTATGGTGTTTTATTTTGCTGCAGCCTTCAACACCAGAAAAAAAAAGATCTTGACTTTTAAGATTACATTACTGATGAAGCAATGATGAAATTTTAAAAGGTAAAACAACAAATTTTCCATCAGCTTAGTTTAATATTCAGCTACATTAAGATAACAACACTTGTATTTTTTATTGATACATATATATATTGTTCAGATTAAGATAAAATATATACACAGCTGTTGTAATTAAATGAAAACATCAAGTAATGAATTTAGAGATTTTCAGATAAGAAAAAAACCCCAGAAACCTATTAAGTGCAGTATTGATTAGGTGGATGCAGTGGGTGTTGGGAATTGAGGACATTTTTTATGAAGAATGTATATTAGAAATAATATTTTTCAGTGGCATTTTCACAGTACACAATTACATATAGAATACAATTACTGAGAATTGTTTTGACTATACTTTATAAAATCTAGGAATTTGAAGCCTTCATGAAACATTGATTAGTAATTGTATGGTATTATACTGCTTATGTTCTGAGAAAAGAATCTGGAGAGAGAGAGAGAGAGAGAGAGAGAGAGAGAGAGAGAGAGTAATTAACATACAGTTAAATTTTATTTTGATAATTCACTTGCATGTAGACTTCTTTAGCTGTGGGAGAAAACCGGAGAAACCAGAGAAAGCCCATGAAGTTGGACAGGTAACTCTTCTCCTTGTCATGTACAAGTGTGTGATCAAACCAACGCAACTTGACTCAATTACAGACCTTATGATCTAAAGCATAACATACTCACACCCCCACACATCGTGGTATATCATATCATCATTCACAGTTCCACAGCAGTTCTGTCAACTCTTAACAGTGGGATCAACCATAAACAATAAGGACTCCCACTGGGTCATCCAGACCAACAAAGATGATAGGAGAAGGGGTTAAAAATATAATACTTACTGCTTCTATATAACCAGCTCCGGTTACTGTATCTGATATACTCAATAAATAATCTGTCAAATTATTTGCCCATTTGTGAACACTAAAAAAAAAATACAAGAAAAAAATCATCAAAAGTTTGTGTGGTTTCAGATTTAACCATGGACCTTATATTATAGGTCCATGATTTAACTTGTTGACATTCACAACTTATAAATGGTATACACTACATTTTAAATAAACAGCCAAGCTTAAATTTAAAGAGATCCTGAGTAGTCGTCAGAAATCAGAAGTCTACCTGCCAGTCTGACAAGGAAAGTGTGACTAGTGATTCAGACGGGACAAAACCAAGGTCCACCCATGTACAACTTAAAGACAGAGGTGGGAAGAAGTCACAGGATCTCAAGTCTGAATCAAGTTCCACATCATTGACTTTAGTACTGAGTTGAGTCGAGTCCCAAATCTTCACAAAGCCCGAGTCCTAAGCTCTTTCAAGTTGTGAGTCGTCACAACTGTGGAGCCCAAGTCGAGTGACAAGTTGGGTCATTGATGCGACTGAAGTCAGACTCGAGTTCTAACCTCTGCTTAAAGAGCATGTGAAAATAAAAACTGATAGAGGAGTATGTAGCAGGGTTCTTAATCCATCTTCAATAGTTTCGCAAGAGGATATTGTAAACTTCAGGAATAGCAAAAATAAACTTTCATTCCCTTTAAAACAAAAAATATTTCTTGATAATTTGTTATGTAGTAGATCCTATTCTGGAAAATTTCTCTGATTGATAACGAATAATAGGTACACCTGCTCAATAATTTCCATATTTAATTAGTGTAACGGCTTTAAGTACATGTCGATAGATACTGAAAGCAAAACGACCATCATAACAACAGTTCAGTGTCTAGACATCCTTTATCTTCTTTATAAAAAGTTATTTTCAAATTAAATTATTATATTTTCTGGTATTCAAGATATCACAATCGTTACATATTTGGCAAACAGATTGAAAAATAATTATGGCGATGACAACATTTTTGTTACCCACACTTTACTACACAGCTTTTGTTTTGGTCAGATTTGTCAGTCTTGACAGGTTTGAAAATTTACCTGTGAGTATTTTAAAGAATTAGAAATTGAATCACAATTATCAAGTCAGTCATACCAAACAGTTTCCATGAAAACACTGCTTTTTGTTTTACAGCTTAAGTTTGTTTGATGTGTATTTCTTGTGTGGGTTTGTTGGGGAGAAACTCAAGCATAGGCGTAGGGGGCCAATCTCAGTTGAGGGGACTGAGGCTATTTGCCTTTGTCACGCCATTTGTATGCCATGTCATTTGTATTCAATAAAACCTTTGCAATTAGAAGAACATAAGGCAGAAACACCTGGCTAAATATATATGAGAAATATTTGAATTTTGCAAAATAAAAACATGGCAAGTCAGACAGCATACAACCGTAGACAAAGACTAGTCATAGAAACAGAATGTCTTAAACTAAATAAAGAACAACACATCTATATGAACTTATCAGCGCATACTCAATTGGGATCATGTGGTTTTTCGCATTTTCTTAGTGTACCTTTCAAAATTCTGCGGCACACTTAGGAAGATCTCGCGGCACACTGGTTGAGAATCACTGGTTTATATAATGCCTCTCAAAGCCTTACATACAAAAAATATATTGTATTATGCAGGAGCCGTATTATGTATTTGAAATAGTATACAATATAACCAGTTAAAGGATTAACTTTCAGAATAAAAGACAGACTGTTTATATTATTGATTATGTATTTTACACACATGTTGCTAAAGTGAATAAAATGGCTATTTATTTAAACCTTGTCAAGATCAATTTATCATATATAATACACGTATATAAATGAAAGCCATTCCGGTAAAAACATTTAAAAGACTAATAAAAAAACTCTTTGGTAGTTTAAATAACCATTGTCATTTCAAGGATTTCCAAAAGAGACGGACGGGCACAAAATTTAAAAGTGTCTTGAATGAAGATTAAGTAACACTCTTTGATGAGGGTGAATGAAAACCAACAAGATTTCTGTAATTAAGTTAGTAAATGGGCACATATGATATCTGATTTGACTCCCGAAATTTTGTTAAAACCATTCTAGCACTTCAGTACAATATATGTTTTAACAAATCTGGATTTGCCTATTTTAAGGAGTCTATATCTCCCCTCCCACAAATTATCTGCAAAAACTCATTTAGACAAATCTGAATTAATATCACTCAAAAGCACTCTGAATAGATCGGTTGACATGCTAATAAGATGTTTTCCGGGAGAGCGGGGATGGTTCGGACACTTTTGGGTTTTTTCACATTTATGCAACTACTAATGCACTTGTCTCAGAACTTAAGAATGGAAAATAGACATTACCTTATTGGCTATATTCAGTCAGTGATACAGCTGTGTAGCTATAAAAGTCTTTGTGTTGGACCAATTTTTGGGGGTGTTAGTAAAATGTCCGGATTTACCCCAATAGCAGGGAGACACCGGTCACCCCTGGAGGGATACTTTGGACAAGTGGAGGACGATTGGACAAAAGCAAATTGAAAAGATTTCTTTCACAGTTTAGTTCTATTTCTTCAAAAAGTTCCTTTAACAATAAAGTTAACACAGTAGTGATAAATTTAAAGCTGAATGTCATCTTTAACTGAGACATATTTTTAACATAGCTGGACGAAAATAAATGAACGTATTCAAAAAGGAATTAACTGATAATTCTAAAGCTTTAAAGCTTCTTGCTATTCTCTATGTATGACATCAATCCGAAATTTACATCGAAAAAGATAATGAATGTTTATTCCGCAAATGACGGACCAAATTTGAAGCAATAACTCATTCCCTTGTTGCTACGGGATAAGGGTTTCGGAAGAATTGTCAGAATTTGATTTAATGGAAGTAAAGCAGTACCCATAATTTCAGTAAACCTCTTATACCCAGCAACTGCCAGTCATCATTCTTTTTTTTTATCAAATCTGACTCTTGGAAATACTGAACTTCTGGGGTAATTCCGGACAGTGTCCGGATGTACCCCAAACCCATAATTCTGATATAAGCAGCCATTATGTTTATTTACAATGAAAATATGATAAATTTCCAATGTATTTCTATTAATTTGCGAAGGAAGTAAGTGGTGACAGCCTACTCCTAAAAGAAATTTGTTAAACACCAAATTAATTTAACAATTTAACTTTAGAAATTTTTTACATGAACTTTGTCAAAAATAGAAAAAAGCTTATCTGCATCTACATTTGAATGTTTATCTCTGCCATGTGTTTTCCATGTTACAAGATGAGATCTTTATTATTATAATAACCAATCAGAAAACGGATAGCATTGTAAAGATTAAAGCTATGGGGGGTGTCCGGACCATCCCAGCGTCCGAACTATCCCCGCTCTCCCCTATGTTTTGTACTTGCAGTCAGATGCAGTCAACAGTTTTAAAATATAAAATATAAATGACACATCTGCTTCCACTCACACTGAAACCTGCATCTTATATCAACATTTGTAACAGTTGACAAGCAAATATTAAAATTAACATGATAATTTCTATTTACTATGTTGACAAGTGTAAATAAAGAGAGGATAAATTTGCCCACACAGTATTTCGGACTAGTTATTATTGCACGAATTCCAATTGTCTTCTTTTTCATGTATGGCTGGTGGACCTTGCTATTTTGTCCAATAGTGATGAGTGGCTAAATTTGCCTTTGGAGTAAGGCACCACCTCTTACAACTGGGAACCTGGCTTGAAAGATTTCAAAGAATTCCAATAGTTCCATACTGGGATTCCAACCCAGTCAGAAGTCTAGAGTGCCCTAACAAGGAAAGCTCAGTCATGAACAGAATAATAACAAATCAACAGTATATTTTTACACGGCAGACAGGGAAAAAATTGCATTCTTTATCGACCCGTCAATTATTAAGGATCAGAACTCCAATTTTGAATTTGTCGGATCGACTTTTTTTCCCAATCTAATTATTCATTATAGATAAGGCTGGGTTCATTGCTATCACCCAGGATCCGTCTGTCTGGAAGGGAGATAAGTTCTATTAAATCATACTTCAATAATGGGCAAAAAAGCCAATTTCGCTGCCGAGATAAATTCCATTGTTTTACAGCAATCTTGAAAAGACGCTTGCAGATTATTTGTTTATAACAGAAAAGCTAAATTGATTACTTTATGAACAGCTGACTGTAGAACCAGATACCATTTCTTTGGCGCAAAGAGAAGGGAAGTTTGCTATGACTATGAGGGACATTTTGTCATGACAGTGGAGCCAGGGCAGGCTTTGGCAGGCTGAAGCTATAGGGAATAAAAAATCTAGGGGGCCTCCAACAAGGTGTATAATATTTTTGACATAAGTCTGTCTTACACATCACTGTATCCTCGGTTTTCCTCAAATGTGTTTAAAACATATTTTAGTAGTACTCCTTTAGTAGTGGGAGTGGGAGACTGGGAGAGGCCTCTTCAGTGGAATAGTCTTGGACCTATCTTCATTTAAATCTGGCACTGGGGGGAGCTATCGGCTGTTATTTCGATTTCCAAACATCTGGAGATTATCTGGTGATTCTTTACATCCCACCAGTGGTTGCTGTGCCCATACAAATGACTAAACGTTTTTCCTTGCAAGGCCATCTATCCTGCATCACTGACAAAGGGAAACCAGACTGATGAACATTCTCAGCCAACACACCGTTATTATAGCCGATACCTCCTGTTAATGAGCCAGCACTACACTCACTGAGCCAGCACCATACCCACTGAGCCACTGAGGAGTTTGTGTTGATGAGGAAATAACAGTCTAACATTCTAACTACGGTTGGACTACTGGAACCTCAGCACTTTTAGTAATGCAGGCATCGGTGAATTCTTGGTTCATGAAACTAATGGGATTTTATATTAATGTGATGTTGAACGAAAATCTTAGAAGCATTATTCTGTGAAATTAAACAATTGTCATTTGACACTCTCCCGATAATGTAGGCTATGTCATTATTAGCCTCAAGTCAGAAGATTTCTTAATAAATGAACTACTCCATGTAAAATATCATCTGAGTTAAGGGAAAAGGTAGGCCT